AGGGTAGATGTCTCTGTTAGCCTCTCCCCACTGAGGTTTGCCAGGATGCAGAGAAAGAGTACATTGAGTAGCAATACTCCTTTACCTCTGCACTCTAACAAAGGGGCTTTACTACCAATAACCCTATTTCAGAGAAGGGCTTAATTGTTAGTCCTCCCCACCTGGTAACCTGAAGCCTTCAGGAAAACAAGAAGATAACACTTGCAAAGAACAAGGAACTCTGTTTAAAATAACTGACAAGTTTTGTTTCTTTGAGCTGTCTTTGCTAATCTCAGGGGGATGTCATGATACTAATGAAGTCACTAATGATAATCTCTTTTCAAGTCAGTCGTTTAACAAAGAAGGAAAAAGAACAATGCATTCCACTTCTTTAAAAAAATGTTACTGGTTACAAGATACCAATGATACTATAGCTAAATCAGTTGAACCAACTTCTATCAGCACTGTCTTAGAATCACAGCCAGAATGCTCCTTAGAAGCAAGGATGGCGAGACTACCTCTCACATACTTTGGACATGTTATTAGGAGGGATCAGTCCCTGGAGAAGGACATCATGCTTGGTAAAGTAGAGGGTCAGCAAAAAAGAGGAAGACCCTCAACAAGAAGGACTGACACAATGGCTGCAACAATGGGCTCAAGCATAACAACGATTGTGAGGGACGGCACAGGACTGGGCAGCATTTCATTCTGCAGCACAGAGGGTCCCGACCAGCTGGAACCAAGCTAACGGCACCTAACAACAATCCCTCTCCAGCACTCCAACCTTTTTAAAAAATACAATGAGACTGTAATCATATATTTTACAAAAATTTTTCCACTCTCCTCATTGTTTTGGTTTTTACTTTCTCTTTTTATTAAATTTCAAGATAGTGTCTAGTCATAAAAAAGTTAACATAGATGAATGCAATCTGAATATAATTACATGTATCCACCCATTTTAAATAGTAAAAAAGAGTCTAATTCCTACACAGTTCCTCTGATTCACTCTTCCCACAGATAAGTAGAGTGAAGAGAGGGGCAAGCTTACAAAACTGTTGAAATACACTGAGATGTCAAGGTATCAAGACAATTCACAGGCAAATTTATACACTACCTACCTATACACACACACACACACACACACACACACACACACACACACACACACACACACACACACACACACCAGTGAAAAAGTAATGTGCAAAGTCATTGCATCACCTTGTGGTAATGTTTGGGAAGTGTAGCTGAGAAAAAAAGTACAAACTGTGCCTCAGTAGGAGAGAGGAAATAACAGCCCTACATAAAAGGGAAGTGGAAGCAGCTTTACTATAACAAATTTTGCTTTCCATCCTCTAAAGTACGTATCCAGAAACATGGGTACATTAAGCCAAGGATAAGTAAAAATTTTCCTGCCAAGAATTAAAGGGACAGACACATTTGGCTTGGAAAGAAAGTTTGAAATGCATACATATGCATGCTGCAATGCCTCACCTCTTTCAGGTTTCCTACTATATTCCTTAAAATCCTAATGCCTCTAGAATTCTTTTATGTCTGTGATGCTGTAGACTACATTATAAAGTTTCTGGTCTAATACTCAATTTTGTTATTCTGGGAATTCATTAATGGCTAAAGATAACATCCAGTGGGCACCAGGTTAAGTATCTAGAAATTTGGGCCATCCAGGGACTCTTTCAGGTGGGTAAAAAAAAAAAAAAAAAAAGAAAAGAAAAGAAAAGCATTTCAAGGTTATCTTTACTTCCTCCTCTTGTAACTTTTTCAAGCCTAAAATAGATCTAGCTTTTCTGGTAGTATTTCTTCAGTGGCTCCTGGTACTCAATTTACTTGACTAATCAGAAAATGCGATCCTTAGTCAACTAAAGTAGAAAACAAACCCATTGAGAACTTCTGTGGATAAAATATATAGAATTGAATTAAGCTTTTTAATTTAGATAAACATTTTATATAATTTGCCAATTCTAACAGAGTTCAAAAGGAAATAAGGTAATTTTGTTACGAGTAATAGTGTGATTATGGTAGTTATTTTTCTAAGTCGTCATCAGTTAGAGATGCTGAACTAATTATAAGTGAAATGTTCTGGTGTCTTGAATTTTAAAAATTTCAGGGGGGTAAAAGATCACAGCCATCGAAAACCCTATGAAACACAGTTCTGCTCTGAAACACATGGGGTCTCCATGGGTCAGAATGGACTCAGTGGCAATTAGTCTCTGGTTATATGTGTATATATACATATGTATGACTATATATGATATACATACATGATTACACATATACGTACTATATATTTATGTATATGTGATTTATAAACTATATGTATTTGTTATATATAATATATAGTGTATCTGGTATATACAAATGTGTATGTATACACACACATACATATATATCTACACACACACATATATATACTGTGTGTATGTATGATCATGTGTGTATTCTACTACAGTCTTAATGGTAAACTCCTTGAGAATACAATCTGTGATTCCTCTTTCCATTTCTGGTACTCAGAACAGTGCCTGGGAAATACAAGGTACTCACAAACATTTCTTGAATTGCATCACATTATTTCTAATAAGAACTTCTTTTCAGTCACCATTAAGATGCAATTACAAATACTGATGAAACATGTAAGTGGGTCTTCTATATTCAAGTGAAAAACAAAAAGTATATTTCAATCCTTACTAGGCATTTTAATCTTTGCACCTGAAAATCTAGCATAATTTTTTTGGAAAAACAGATTTGTGTTTTGTTTGTCTCTAAAATTTCCTCTCTGACTTCCTATGAACATCTCTTGGAACTACACAGTTAAGCCACAAATGCTGATCTCAGAACAGAAAATTTGCAAAAAGACAAACCGACTTGCTACACCAGCTAAAGATCTGAAACTGTAGCCTGCACCTGTAGTGCTAAAATTGATTTTACTCATCTCTGCATATGTCATCAAGATCAGCAGGCATTTTTAACCATTACTGAAGATTTTGTTATGAAATGTTGGAAGTTGCAGTCTGTGAGAATGACTGGTTTTCTGAAAAGCTTCTCTGTTCATTTGCACATAAAGAAAAGCCATGTGTAAGCTGCTTGACAAAGCTATAAATTTGGCATTATGCCATTATACAAGCCTCCCCCCCCGAAAAAATTTCAGGGGTAAATAAATGTGTTAGAGGATAGTAAAGATAATAAAGCGAGATTGGCAAAATATAGCTTCATTTTACTGTTAATTCTCCTTTTGTGTATCTTTGAAAATTTCTACAAAAGTTAGTAAAATTAAAGCAAATAAAGCAGATTAGTACTAAAAACTCCATGTAAGATCTACTACAATAGCAACATTGCATTTTAAACCACGAATGTTTTGTGTTCTCTGAGTGCTGCAATTCAGATAACCATTTACAAAGTTAGTGAAAGTTTAAAAAATCTTGGATTAAAAAATTATGAACCCTTGGAGTCCTTCGGTGGCACAAATAGTTAAGCAGTGGACTACTAGCCAAAAGGTTGGTGGTTTGAAACCACCCAGAGGCACCTCGGAAGATAGGCCTGGTGATCTGCTTCCAAAAGGTCACACCCTTGAAAACCTATTGAGCAGTTTTCTGCATACACAGGGTCGCCATGAGTCAGAATCAGACGGCAACTAACAACAACAACGAAATTATGAACCCTTAAACTTATCTCCAAATTCAGTCCCATAGGACACATTAACATCTGAAGGGGAAAACAAATGTTTGATGTTTTGAACGCTTCTGATTATTCATACTTTAACTCAAAGAGTATCAACTGGTTTACAGATCTCTAAACAACAACAAAAAAACCAAACCCGCTGCTGTCGAGTAACTTCCGACGGATAGCAACCCCAATTCTACACATATTGCTGCAGCCATAGTTGCAAAACAGTGTAAGAATGTGATGACTAGAAAATTAAAACTACAACAGAATGTTCTTTGAAGTTTGATGATCACATTGCCAAAAAAAAGCTTATTTCTACCATGATTAAAAAAAAATCCTTCAAGAAATCAAATTACCCCCAGATAAGAACGATAAAGTCTGGCCTCAGCTCTTTCTCTATACCGAAAAAGCACTTTGAAGGCAATTAGCCCACTTTTAGAACTATAGGGTGTAATATACATTTATCAATACAGTGACACACACCACCACCACCACCCTCTGATAACTCTGTAAGCTCTACCCCTGGGGCACTGAGGCTCCTGAAAACTGGAACTAAAGAGCTCCTGTCGGGACATGTTCACTAGCTACCGGGAAGGGATTGTGAAATCAAGAAAATGTTGACTAAGCCAAGAAAAATGTGACTCTCCCCAGAGAATTTAAAAAAAAAAAATCTCTGTAAGTACTAGGAGGGGCCATTTCTAAACAGATGAAAAAAAATAGTTAATTCATTCTGCATGCAGTCCAGGTGAAGAAGATCTGCTAGAGCGGCTAACTCCGCCCGCGGCCCTAAAATGTGGGCGGCACAGGGAGTCTCCACCTCCTCATCCACCGGCGACTCAAACCAAAACAGTTCGCTTTCCCTCCACAGAGGCGAACTCGAGCGTCCTTTCCTGACTCGACCTAGATGTTTTCCCAACCTTGCCGACGCCGGTAGCACTCACACTGCCCTCAACAGTCACCCTATCGTTCAGATACGATTTTTTTTTTCTCCGGGGGGAGTCACACATGTCACTCGCCCCCCGCCAAAGGGTCCACGTCCCACACGCCTCCGCAAAATCTCGAAGGCCTATTCCGTGTGGGGCGGCCACCCATGGCTTTTCCCAACTCCACAGCTAACCGAAACTGCCCACACTCCTCGTCACAATAGCAGTCTGGGAGGAAAGGTTTGTCCTCGAGAAAAAAAGCATCGTCATTTGCTAGCATCGTCACCACGGAGACTATTCCCTAGACTGGCCAGGCCCTAGACTCCGGGGACTGAGGGGAATATGACGGGCCCCAAAAAGAGCTCCAGCGGGGGTCTGCCCCGCCAAAGGCGCTGGAGCGGAGCTAGGAAGGCGCCTTACCCAGTGAGGGGCTCCCCGGCAGAGGCTGAGCGTCAGAGAGGCTTCCGATCCCGAGACGCCATCAGCTGCCGAACCTCTTCCGCCACCTCCGCCTCCCTCTGCAGACCGGCGACACCTCCCCTCAGGGCCAAAAGCCAGCGCCGCGTCACTTCCGTCCACAGGGTCGTCCCTTCCGGCGCCGCCGCCGCTTGGGGCTCTGCTGCCCGCCACCTACCCCACAGCAGATGGTTCAAGACCTGCGACCCAGCCAAGCGCGCGTATTCCTCCACCCCGCTACTTTTCCCCTTTCTTCGACCTGGCAATTTTCGCTCAGACACCTAGTTTCAGCAAAACAGGCCCTGTTCGTTTGGATTTGCATTTTTTATTTTTTAATTATTATTTTGACCTACAAAATGGGGAAACACACGGAAAAGTTAAGTAACTTACCAGTGTAGTAAAAGGTAGCCCAGTAGTATATGAACTATTCCATGTCACTGCCTGGATCTTTAATATCTGCCTAAACTAATCCACTTATTTTATAGATAAGGAAATAGAAGCGAAGGAAGGAGACGGTGGCGCCGTGGTTAAGTGCTTGGCTGCTAACCGAAAGGTTAGTGGTTCCAACCTACCAGCCGCTCCACAGGAGAAAAAAGACCTGGTGATCTGCTCCCGTAAAGATTTACAGCCTCAGAAGCCCTCTTGGGCAGTTCTACTCTGTCATAGAGGGTCGACTCTGAGTTGGAATCGACTTGGCGGCAATGGGTTTGGTTTTTGTATGAGTTGGAATGGACGAACAGAAGCGAAGGGAGCGACCACAAGGATAGGGCTACAACCTCTAAAATCCAAGGCTCTCGCCTAACTCTAGTCCAGTCTTGTCCCTTTCTAACTTTGGGGTTTTGCTCACTGTAAACCCTCAGTTTCTCTGAAAAGCTTTTCAATTCTAATCATGCTCTATGATTCTATTTCCTCTCACTCCAGTACTGGTCTCTTTCCAACTGCATTTCTGTGAGTTGTTCACTGTTTTTGTTACCTGTATTATTCTGCGGGTGTGAATTTTGCCCTGCGTTTTCTGTTGAACTGCAATTTCATATGTCACTCTTGACTATTATATATCTTACCTTACTATAATAGCCATTAAGTTTGAATCTTAACTCCACAGAAGCAAGTGCGTTCTGTCCAAGTTAATCATACTCCTGTGTTGCCATAAGCACTGATAAAATGTACAGTATCACCAGTGAAGAAAGGGTGATAAATTAGATCACATTAAACGTTGAAGCACCTTCTAAATACACAACATACTAAATCCTCTTTCATACTCTACCCTTTACTTCCACATATTTAAGATTAGATAACATAAGCTCTCAATATTTGCTGACTGATTTCTTTCCTATATACTGACATCTTTGGACTTGGTCTTGTGCTGCATATTGTGCTTGATAATACAATTTCAAAAAACCTTTACGTGTCATTTAATCCCAACCTCCTTATTTTACAGATGAAGAAAATGGTGTAATAATCAACATTAGTGGTCAGTAATGTTACTGGTAGTGATCTTCAAGTAGTGGAAATAATTGTGCCCCTTAAGAAATGTAAATATAGTAGTGCACTTTATAAATACATATTTTGAGAGTTGTCGCTCATATTTTTAATCACATTATTTGCATGTATAAATTTCTAATTACTGCCAATTTTCAGTCAATGAAATCAGAACAATATGCTTAATAAAAACTATAATTCAAAAACATTTTAGTGCAAATAGTTTTACTTTTTTGTTTTCTTAATAATAAGTTCTTGAATTGTTTTACCTTGTTTTTCTCCATGAAAGTATTTGTTTAGATATGTTAACTTGCTTTATTCCTTTTAATAATGATTCCTTGAATTTTTAGGACATGTTTCTCCCATCAAGATAAATAGATGTCCTCACAGTATTAAATTGATTTTTTTTTTTTAATTAGCCTATTATATGTATGGCAGTGTACTAGGAGCTATAGAGTATATGGGTACATAATCCTTTACATGAAACCCTTGGGCCAGACAGAATTCAGAATTTTTTAGACTTTAAAAACGTGTACTTTGTGTTATATGACACCTCACAAGGTTTGGGACAGTATCCCATAATCAAGTTAATATTCTTTCAGGGAAAATTATGAATCCTACACTAAGTAGGATAAATAAAGAGTATGAGTAGTCTCACTTCAGTTCAGAGCAGATTTTTCAGATCAGGTTTTTCCACTGTACCACTATGGGTTCATGTCAGGTCAAGTTTTATTGACAAACGGATTCCAATCAAGACAAGTTTTTCCACCAAATGTTAAGAAAACATTTCATTTTCAGAGCTTTGTGGATTTCAAAATTGTGAATAAAGGATTATAGACGTGCTCAAAGCATTACTGAAAAGTATATTGCTCAGCGACCCACAATTTTTCTGGAGAAATTGCAAACCACCTATTACGTGCTTTAATTGGGAAAATATGCTGACTTACCTACAAAACACGTTCCTCTCTTAGAGGAACTTATGAGAGCAAAGATAAGAGAAAAAAAATGAATCCTTAAAAACTTAGGTGACTAAAGTATAAAATAATCAGGTATTCAGATATGGGCCAAGTCAGTATAGACTTGTGTAAGCAGTACATTTTTCACAGAGGAGGCAGGCCTAGACTGTTAGAGTTAGGTAGGGTTTTGATAAGCAGATAGAAGGAGGAGGATTTCCCAGTCAGAATGTAAGAGCCTGGGCAAAAGAGTCAGCGAGAAGAATGTTAACAAAAAATAATAATTCCCACTTGTGGAGCGCCTAATGCTTATCTCCACTTCTCACAGCAAACCCTGTAAGGTAGGTATTATCCCCATTTTGCAGGGCTCAGAAAGGTTAAATAATTTGCCCATGATCATGAAAAGGGAGATCAAGGCTTGAACTCAAGTCTGTGACTGCAGAGTTCATGCATTTCCCATCATGCATGCTGCTTCTCAACAAGTGCTTTTTGGTTATTTTCTAGGTACTCTGGGCTATGCTGGGTGCCTAGGGAAAATAAAGAATAAAACATGGTTTCTTCCCTGCAGCTGATTAAAATCTAGTTAAGATATTATAAGAGATATAGTTAAGTGTTAAATTTCTAGGAAATGAAATCTGAGAAATACAGTAGAAAGATTGATAAAGAATAATTAATTTTAGGAGTAGAAAGACTGCAAAAGAGACTCGATTCTAAATTTTGAAAGTATAACAGAATTTGAAAAGGTGGAAAAAAGGCTTTTGTAGAAAGAACAATATAATTAAAGGGGCATAAATGGGACAATACTGTAGTACAGCATGGGTTGAAAATTAGAAACAAGTTCAAATAGGCATGATATAGAAATATCATTGCAGGTTTCGAAAACCAGGGAAAATGAGTTGTCTCACCTTCTAGAACACTAGTTTTCCTTAGTGTTTGTATTAAGATCCCCTTTTGACCACTAGCCGAAAAGTTGGTGGTTTGAACCGACACAGAGGTGCTGCAGAAGACAGTCCTGGTGATCTGCTTCTGAAAGTTCACAGCCTTGAAAACCCTATGGCGCAGTTCTACTCTGCACACATGGGTCGCCATGAGTCAGAATGGACTCGAGGGAAACTAACTACAATGACAAAACTTTGTTTAGGAAAGAGAGCTTTTAAAGATGAGATTTGAATAATGGTGGGCTTTGAATAGTCAAAGAAGAGAGGACTCAGACACTGTAAAATAGAGTTGTTTATTTTCTCATACCCAATGTGTCAGGAGATGGTATTGATGCACTCCTTGCTCCTTATTGCTTCCCGACTGTTATTCTCCCACATATTTATAAAAAACTTTGCTCTTTTGAGGTGCACATCACTCAGCTATGCCACCCTCTCTCCTCCCTGTTGTTGTCATCTGCTGATCTCCAAGTCATTCTTCCTCATTCTTGGAAGATTATCACCTATTGCTCAGACTTCTTTTCCATTCCAAGCCTTTCAGAGTCTACATGGATGAGAGTTCCAACGCCTTGGCCTCTTTTTTTTTTTTTAATATATTTATTTTGTTTTTGTTGTTGAGAATATACACAGCAAAACATACACCAATTCAACAGTTTCTACATGTATCATTTAGTGACGTTGATTACATTCTTCAAGTTGAGGAACCATTCTTGTTATCCTTTTGTGAGTTGTTCCTCCTCTATTAACATAAATTCGTGCCTCCTAAGGCCCCTATCTAATCTTTCAAGTTGCTATTGTCAAGTTGATCCCATATGCATAGTTCTTAAAAGAGCATAATGCTCAAGGCAGACATTTTTTACTAATTAAGATAAACTATTGTCTGGTTTTAAGAAGACTTCAGGGAATATTTTTGGTTTAAGGTTTAAAGATTATCTCAGGGCAATAGTTTCAGGGGTTCATCTAACCTTCATGGCTCAAGAAAGTCTGGAGTCCATGAGAATTTTAAATTCTGTTTTGCATTTTCCCCCTTTTGATCAGGATTCTTCTATGGAATCTTTGATCAAAATGTTAAGTAACGGTAAAAAAACTCACTGTCTTCGAGTCGATTCCAACTCAGAGAGACCCTATAGGACAGAGTAGAACTGCCCCCACAGGTGGATTTGAACTGCTGATCTTTTGATTAGCAGCTGAGCTCTTACCCATGGGGCCACCAGGGCTCCTAAGTAATGGTAGCTGGGCACAATCCAGTTCTTCCGGTCTCATGGCAAAGGAGGCAGTTGTTCATGGAGGCAATTAGTCACACATTCCATACCCTCCTACTATTACTGACTCTCCCTCTTCTTCTATTGTTCCAGGAGAATAGAGACGAATTGTTGTGCCTTGAATGGCTGCTTACAAGCTTTTAAGACCCCAGGCACTATGCAACGAACCAGAAGATAGAACAGAGGCAGTAAACTTGTTATTTGGCCAATTAACTGGGATGTCCCATGAAACCATGACCCTAAACCTCCAAACCAAGAAACCAAATCCCATGAGGTGTTTGGTTATACATAATCAGCCTCAGCAGCTACTCTATCTTTTTTTTATCCTTGTTGTAAATATATCTATTACACAACTTTTGCCAATTCAACTTTTTACAGGTGTACAACTTATTGACAGCAATTACAATAATTGGCTGTGCAGCTTTACCCTGAATCAACGCAATATTTCCATCACTGTTAATGCCCTCTTTC